ACTTCTAATTTAAAATACATTTATTGGTTGTTCCCATTTAAGCACAACTTCCACTATTTTAGGATCCACTTGAATGTCATTTAAAGAAATCACATGCCCAAGAAAAACCACTATATCCATCCAAGATTCACATTTACTAAATTTTATATACAATTGCTTCTTTTTTTTTCGCAGATTCTGTAACATAATTCTTAGATGTTGCTTGTGTTCTTCCTTATTATGAGAACAAACCAAATATCATCTATAACTATATTCACAAAGAATCCAATACTCTATTCAGGAGACCCATAAAAGCAACTGGTGCATTTGTCAAACCGAAAGGCATAACTAGAAACTCATAATGCCCATACCTGGTGTGAAAAGCTGTTTTAGGCACATCACTCACTCTCATTCTCAACTGATGGTATCAGAATCTTAAATCAATTTTAGAGTAAACACTTGCTTCTCAAAATTTTTCAAACAAATCAGGGTAAAAGATACTTGTTTCGAATTGTCACTTATTGAGTTGTCGATAGTTGATACATAGTCGCATTGTTCTATCTTTCTTCTTAACAAATAATACTAGAGCTCCCCAAGGAGGCAAGCTAGGTTGAATAAACCCCCGGTTTAGCAAATTATATAACTACTCTTTTAATTCTTTCAACTCAATTGGTGCCACTTGATACGGAGCAATAGATATAGGTGCAGTCCCAGCCTCAAGTTCAATAACAATATCTGGTGGCAAACCTGGTAATTCATACGAAAACACATCCAAAAATTCACCAACTACTAGCAAGTCAGACAATTTTATATCACTTTTGTTGGTATCCATGACATAAGCCAAATAACCTTGACAACCTTTACGAAGCAATTTTTGAGCCTTAATTGTAGAAATTATACAATTGGGTGTCACCTTCCTTTCACCTTGAAATTTCAACTTTGGCTCACCTGGTATTAGGAAAACAACTTCCTTCCTAAAACAATCTATTGACACTTGAGAAGCAAATAACCAATTTATTTCCAATATAATGTCAAAATCTTGAATATCTAAAGGAATCAAGTCAACCAATAACTCTTGTGTATTCAAACTTACCACACAACTCTTGTAAATATTCCTCACATATACTATATCGCCCACTGGCGTAGTGATAGCTAAATAATGAATTAATAGGGTAGAAGGTTGATCCCAATGCATGCTAAATGCGTAGACCCAAGGTTAGTAAGAATATGTGCATTCCTACCAAAAATAGAAATCATACCTATTATCACATTAGGAGAAGCCTGAGCATCTTATTGTGTCATAGCAATACTCATCCCTAGATCCCCTGCCACCTTTATGTGCATTTCCTAATGAACCTTTACCGTTCCGAGTTACACTATTCACTGATGTTGCTCCAGTAGACCTATTTGGACAATCTTGCAACATATGTCCTATTTGCCTACAACCATAGCACCGTCATTCTCCACTTGTCATTGTTGCCCCACAGTGCTGGGCCATATGTCCATCCATTCCACACCTAAAGCAAGTAACACTTGTAGCTCGACTACTAGCTAATCCTCTACCTTACTATCCCGAAGAGAAACTAGAAAAACTTTAACCTCGTGACCTTGTCATAGTCTTATCATACCCTGCACCTCCAGCCTGAGGAAATTGTTGTTCCTGTTTCTTGAATCCTGATGTTTGACCCACATATTGAAATCCCCTAGCCGATGCACTATCAAACCTTCATTTCTTGAATTGTTGACGTCGTCCCACTAATTCTTGAACATCTCTTTCAACCACCAAAGCTATATTCACCAAAGTTGAATAACTTGTCAATTCAAAAGCTGAAAAATGAGTTTGGATTGGATAGTCCAACCCCCATTGAAACTTCTTACACCTTGCCTCATCAGTCTGTACAAAAGTTGTAGCAAACTGAGATAATGTAGTGAATTGCTTCTTAGACTCCAACACTGAAATCTTTCCCTTAGTTAGTGTCATACAATCTTGCTCTTGTCCATAGCAATATGACTTGAAAATACTTGGCATTGAACCCTCTCACAAATTGATCCCAAGTAACCCTTCTTTGTACTTGAGCTCCCTCACCAGAATCCGGAGTAGTTAATAATCGCTTTATGGCTTCCCACCAGAATTATGCCTCCAATGTCAACATAAAAGTGGCTATGACAAACTGTTGTTCATTATTAGCCTCGATTATCTCAAAGATAGCTTCCATCCATTTCAACCAGGCCTCAGCCTATGGAGGATTAATTGTTCTTGCAAAAGTTGGAGGACTCAATTTCATAAACCTCTCATGTATAGGAACACATGGCTCTACTTGTGCATAGGTGGTGTAGCTTGTATCTCCATTTGTAATTTCATAAATCGATTTGTTGTTGTAGCCATTTGTGCCATCATTTCAAATGCTCTTTGTACTATATCTGGTTGATTTTGTTTCCCTTCCATTCCTTCCTGTTGTTGTCTCTCACCTCCCTTAGCCACAGTAGAATCATTTTTTGGTGTAACTATAACAGTTTTATGTAATTGTTTAATGTAACCGTTTGAATTAAATACATAAACAGTGCATACAACTATCCACAAAATTTTTCAAGTCTCTCCAAAATAACACAGACTGTAAAAAAAAAAGTTTTAACAATTTACAATATTTTAGAACAGTTTAAAATATTAAAACATATATCAGAAACACAATAAATAATTATACAAATAGGAAATATGTCTTAAGATTATTGTTTGTATTATTCCAAATATGGTAAAATCACTTATTGAAATTTCTAATTTGAAACAAAAAAATAGCAGTCAAGAATGAAACAGTTACAGATACTAACACAATAGTAATACAATAAATCTGTAATTTAAACAATGGATATACTGAACCGTTTGCAGAACTAAAACTGTTATTGAACTTTAAGTAGATCAAAGTTAGTGTTCGAAAATATGTCTTTAAGACAAATTTCGCCTCCACATACGGTGCTTATGAAAATCAAAGCGTCTATCTCCCAGGATCTAATGATCTTCACACGAATATAAGTAATACTCTAATCTACTCGCCCACCGAACTAGAAATTATGTTGTGTACTCTCCAAATGTAGACTTCCTTAATGACAAAATATAATGTATTAATGTCTGTCTTAACTCTGAAAATGATTAATGCAGAATTGTAATGAATCTGAGTTTATATAGACAAACTAATGACTGTTCTAGACAACCATCATGCTAAAAGATACAAACCAGAAGACACCAACGTGTAACTATTCTCTATAAACAGACACTACTCAAAAATTTAGATTGGAAGAAAGACAAAATCCAAATCAGTGCGAATTCAAATCTAATGGATATCGAAATTAAATTATGGTTCTGAAATTTACGTCCAATTCATGATATGAATTTTTTTCAAAAAGATAGTGCTTGGTCTAAACCACACTCACACCCACACCTATACCCGAGCCTTGCCCGGCCCGGCCGGATCGTGGCGAGGTGAGGCGAGGTGGGCGGGAGGCACGCACGTGTGTTGTTGAACCGAAGGAATGTGGACACTCGCTCCGCTCATAAAATTATGGTACCCCAATTTCATAGAGTAAATCTGGCCTATATATGTCTATGTAGAACTTCTTCCTCAACTAATGTGGGATTGGTGTCAAATCTCACATTGAACAACCTCTATTTTCTCATTCCAAGAGGGTCATTTTGCAGCCTATTTTCTCATTCATTTTTTACTCCATTTGAGCAAGTGAATACACTATGTTATTCTAGTCATGGAATAGAACACGAATCCACGAAAGTTTACTTGAAACAACGAGTAGGTCCCACTTTAATTTATGAAAAATGCTATTTGGACTTTATTTAGAGACCTAATGATGTACAACCATTGAATTGATTATGAGCTCCATCTAACATTAAAACTTGCAATTAATCTAATGATTATATTGAAGCCACATCATTATGTCCCTAAATAAGATTCCTAAATAAGGTTCCTATAACATTACTCTTAATTTAGGTTTAAAATCAACCAAAAATTAAATTTTAATTACTAAAATTTGTTTTTATTCCAACAACTTTTTAGTCCAACAACTTCTTTATTAGCGCCTCACTCACTGCGTGCTTGGAGACTATATGGTACATGTATAATAGATCTAATCGTTGAGGTATTGTCAATAGTGGTGTTATGCTATGTAGGATTTCAGACTTTTGAATGCTTCCTCGCATTTCTGCGTGCAGACTCCTCGGGCTTTTTTTTTTATTATCTAAGCTTAGAAAAATGGCTTGCACTGCTTAGACGATCTAAATATGAACCTATTAAGTGCGACAACTATTCCAATTAACCTTAGCATCTCCTTTACAATTTTTGGGGGTTAGAGTTCAATTATGGCTTTGGCTTAGTTAGAGTTTGCCTCGATCTGTCTTTTAATAACCTTCTCTTAGACATTTCTTTATTACATTTATAGTTATTGATTGTAAAAATAATTCAATTTAAATGTTTAAATATAAAAAAATTATACATGTCATATTTTTACTAGATAAAAAAAAATAAAAAAAATAATTTAGGGTAAACTCATAGGTGCTCCTTGAACTATGTCGTTTATTTTGAATTATTCCAGCCTATCCCTTCAAGTATGTAATTTATTTCAATCGATATGTTCCATTAAAAGAGATAAATTAATGGTTAATATTAACAAAATTTATAAATGATTCATCTTAATGAAATTTGTCAACATTTATCGATAGTCTTAAAAAAAAAAACTTATTAAAATAAATTATATAATTCAAAGTATAAATTAATGTAATTAAAAGATAAGTTATAGGTAGCTTATTGGAGCTGTCAGGATGATATTTATCGCGTGGAGAATATTGTTCACCTTAATCCAATTCTCTGACAATATTAGGAATTTCATATTTAAACGCAATGCAATATATGCCGGACAAATAGTAATAGGCCACGTATACTGTCGCTTTGCAACGTACCCTTTCGCTTTTAAAAATTCTCCAAAGACGGAAGAAACCAAACAGGCAAACACCTCTCTCTCTCTCTCTCTCTCCTGGGATTTCTTCAGTCTGCGATTTTCTCTCACATAGACGATCTGCAGGTTAGAATTCAACTGCTATCTATATGGTTTTGTGAATAGATGCATGCATGTATGCTTATGTGGAGGATGAATCGGTGGTTTTAGTTTGGTACAGGCATGGTTAGGGTTTTCAATTTTTTTTTTTGATAATAACAACGATTTTGGAACTAGGGTGTTTTTATTTGTGCATATAGATGGTTAAACCTATGGTTCTGAATTTCAATGGATCTGTCTCGATTTTTGATTCTTTTGTCCTTTTTTTGGTAGTTGGCCTTGAAATTTTTGGTATTTGTTTGTGGAGTTGGAGTGATATGGTAATCTGTTTGTTTTTCCTGCAAATTTTTTACTTGGAATATCCATATTTGACGGGGAAATTGTCTTCAGGGTTCCATTAGTGGCTCACGTTCCGTCTTCTAGCTAAGTGTGGATAATGTTAATTTTTGTCTGCTTAGGCCTTTTATGGGTACTATTTAGCACATAATTATTATTCTTTTGGGACTGCATAATTTCACACGGGTACAGACCCATCCGCACACAATAGTCTAGCCCAGACTCGAGTTGTGAAAAGTGCGCCTAGGCACTTGCCTAGGCCTGAGGCAAGGCAAGGCGAGGTGCACCTGTACCCCAAAGCAACTCGACTTCACTAAGGTGCATGAGGCGTGGCTTTTCCCCCCTCTCCTTAGTGATATATTCTTGGCAATTGATATATGAATTTTGACTAGAAGATTTGATATGCTTCACATTAGATTGGAACTCTAAATATAGACATCTAGTTCTAATCATAAACTCTATGAACTTTTTTTATCCAGTCTCATCTAGCTGCACTTATAAATATCTTTTTGGGTCATTGAGCTATGTCTTTTTTCTTATTAACTAGCTTTCTGTCTCCCTTTCTCTTCAATTTTTATTTTTTTGTGAAACTGGCCCCTAATTTATTGAAGTCAATCTGATGTTTTGAAAAGTAAATGTTTTTTGGTTCAATTAGCCTCTAATATTTGAAGTTACCTTGATTCTAAGAAATATACCTCTTTGGCTCTGTTTTGGCGTCCTTCTCTATTCTCTTATTCTTATTTCTGACTTTGTTTAAGAATCTTTGTAAATTTTTTTAATAAAATATGATACTGAAATTGGTTAAGAATACTAATAATTAATAGCTTAGTATTATTTTGCATATTGTTGATTTTTTAACGTAATATGTTGAATTTGATGCTGAAAGTTGATTAATCTCGCTTGGAATATTACTGTAATTTGTTCAATGTTTTACATTAGTTTAAATGACTATATCTGTTGTATTTACCTTGTATTTGTTTTATTTTACAAAATATTGTTGATATCTTTGTCGAGATGAGCTGTATATATTGTATTTGCCTTTTTCTGTTTTTGAAATTTGTTGCATTCAGTTGTATTTGCAGTATGATTTATAATTTTCACACATAATCTACAGGATAAGCTCAATTTGACAAAACCCATGCCTTGGCTTACCCCTCAAGCATATGCTCCAAGAGACCTTGCCGGCTCAATTCGACTTTCCCCTTAAATCACAGTGGCCTTAGACCACATTTTTCATGGGTACCTTAAAGAGGAGACTAGAACAACCATTAAGAGCTATCATTGCATATATTACATCTCTTGAGTTCTGGTTCTAGTTTTTGTCTTTCATCCTTGGTTTTAGCTGTGGTCATGGTACCAGGTTCAAGTATTATAATATTTAGTTTGTACATATAATGTTGATGGTTGGGTATTCATGCCTTTTTCTTTCTGAAATTTCTTATTCATTTTCCAAATTTGGCAGTGTTAGTCCTTGCCCGCCCAATATCCTATGTAGAATCCAGATTTGCTTGATGAACCTAAATTTAAGGTGTACATGTTACTAATAGGTATGCAATGAGTTCCAATTAGGAGATAGGACCTACTTAATAATTTGATTGTCCAGCAACAGGTTGAATTATCCTACCTTATTAAAAGATCATTAAAGTCATTATGAGTTTGGTCCTTGTTAATCGGTGATACTTGAAAGGATAAATTGCATATTAGTTGGAGCTCTAGTCATATTTGTGTAAACCAACATAGTTTTGGGGTTCCAACAAGTTGTCACTAAAAAGTTGGCTTGGTAGAAGGGAAATATGTTGGTCATGAAAAAGACGGGTTCATAGTTATCAAAATTCATTAAATTCTTGACGACCCACGACTTGGATGCATTGATCCTAAACACGGTGAATTCGCAATCTAGATAATAATATTCCTAAATCGATTGGTTTTGAAACATGTAGTACAAATATAAAATTTATATTAATTGACTAAGTGCATATAGACTTGTAATTATATATTAATGTAAGATAAATAGTAACTGATTTAGTGTTTATGGATGTTATATGGTATATAATGTTGTATAATGCTGAAAACGATATAGATAAATGTTCCAAAATAAATTGTAACTTAAAATGCTGTACTAGCTAAGCCTAACTTCATCGTATTACGTACCTAAGAAAGCATCGTATTGTGCATTCGTACCACGTACCAAAGCGTTTCATGATCCAAGTAACATTGGACTAGCTTTCAAATGGTTCAAAGTTTTAGTATTGGCCTTCGATTCGGTTCGAGTCTCACGAGTCACCTCTATGTTGAGCTGATTCCACTAAGTCGTAATTGAGTCAACGTTGATTCGATAAATCCATTGGATTTGTGCAACGACGAACGTGTCTCGTTATCTAATCGGAGGTAGCCGAGTTGGATTTTGTTCGGTTAAGTTGTATTGGGCTCGGCCTACTTTGAACCTTGGGATGAATAGATGTAACTGATGATGAATTCATTTTTTTCTTACCACTCTCTCTCTGTGTCCTCTATAATAGCTGATGAATCACAGAGTAAATTAGTGTGGTTTGGCAATTGATTTATAATCCCACAATGTTTAAGCCAAGTGCAATAAACCAAGCCATTGCTCCAAACTCCTTGCTTCAAATAGGTTACCCATATTAGCCGACCAATCTATAATAATCTAAAGGAATGATTGCTTTTTGAGCCTACAAAAACCGTGGGTGAAATCTACACTATCAATTAAGAGAGAGGGGGTTTTTGTATATCCTTATTGTAAAATATCTATATTACCCCTTAACCACCAATAGCCATCCATAACTTCTTGTCTTTGTTGGTCTTTTAACATTCTTATGTCTCTCTATATCTTACTTTTTTATAGTTACGCACATGGACGTCGTGTGGAAGTGCCCCTAGTGTTGATTATGCTTGGGTGGGAATTTGTTCCCATTTGCCTTTTGATTCCACTTTTGTACTGATATAGGCGTTATAAAATGTTCGAGGCCCATGTCAATTTTGACAGAGGATAGATTTGGAGATACTTTTTCTTCTGTTTGTGTAGTTTGGAAAAGCTTTGCGGCAATTTTCCTTTCCGTTTAGTGTTGTAGATTTTCAAGTGAATTTGGTGCAGGAGAGGTGAAAAAATGGAGCATGATGAGACTGGATGCCAATCCCCTCCTGAAGGCCCAAGTTTGTGCGTCAACAACTGTGGCTTCTTTGGAAGTGCGGCAAACATGAATATGTGCTCAAAGTGTTACAAAGACACGATATTGAAACAAGAGCAGGCTAAACTTGTTGCATCATCCATTGAGAATATCGTTAACGGATCATCTACTAGCAATGAAAAAGAACTTGCTGTTGCTGTAACTGTGGATGTGCAAGTTGATTCAGTGGAAGCAAATGCCATCTCTTTGCCGCCATCTCATGCTTCAAGTTCTGGGGAGACTGGTGATGCGAAGGCGAAGGAGGAACCTAGCCGGTGCAGCACTTGTAAGAAACGGGTTGGCTTAACTGGGTTTAAATGTCGCTGTGGTAATTTTTTCTGTAGGTCACATCGATACTCAGACAAACATGACTGCCCCTTTGATTACCGCAACGCTGCTCGTGATGCTATCGCTAAGGCCAATCCTGTCATTAAGGCAGAAAAGCTTGATAAAATCTAGGGAGGATGGGGAAATGTTTTATGTGCTGTAAGCTTCTAGTTTGTCCAAGGGTCCTGCATATCATCAGATGTCCTGTGATATCAATGTATTTCTTGGGAAGCATGACAGGACATCTCTGCAGGTCAAATAATCCTTTATTGCTTGTAATTGTTGAGATTTTGTTTGTTGGCTTCAATGTTTAAGCCTTTATATGTGCTGGTTTGGACTTCATTATGATGAACTTTGTATTGTGTCATTCTGGTTCATATGGCATTTGTCTCGGTTATATTATGCACATGTTTATGTTCATCATGGACATTATTGTGATTAGCGATATGGTTCCTCTCCATTTATACACATCCAATGTCATGTGAAGTAACTTTTTTTCTTCATTTTTGCTGGAATGTTAATTACTCAATTTTTTTGATCATTGTATATTTGCTATTGTCTCTCAGGTTTTTACTTATGTTTTACCTAGAATTAGTTTCACTTGGCACCATAACATTTCCCCTTGCTTAAAATCAACCAGTGGTAGTGTTTATTATTTATGCTCTGTTTCTGTAGGTTTTTAGCTATAACCTTGTGTTACTGGTGGCTGCTTTGCTGCTGCATCTGTGGGGTGCAGTTGTCCTCGTGTTTTAGCGACTTAAGACTTCATTCACATTTTGGAATGGTAGTTTTTCTCACAACAACATCCATAGTGACTTCTTTTTAGATGAGTTAAAAAATCATCGGTAGTTGTTTCATGCAGTGTTTATATAATGGGTCAATCTGGTCCATGAATTCTTTTTATCTATAAACAATGGACAGTTTTTTCATCATGATAACATAATAGCTTTCCTTGATTCTTCTTATTGCTAGACCACCTTTGGTCTTAGGTTTAGAACATCCTCCCATTCCACTTTAGCTCGAGTGAATTCTTCTGGTTAAAAAGTTAAAAATATAAACACGTAGTTTTATTGTGATTTAAAAAAAAAAATTACAATGTAAGTGGTAAGATAATCCTTTGAATATAAACAATTTACACTATTTTTATCCATATAATAAAATAAAATATAAATTGCAATGACGACTAGTATTGTTTTATCTCATAGTTTATCTTACTATTTATATTTTAATTTTTTAATCGTAGAAAATCTATATATTTTAATTTTAATTTTTTTGTTACACTAAACCTGTCTATTAATGTTTTGACCATACTGAATCTATGTATTTATATTTTAATTTTATCCATTATTGCATATTGAACGGGTAACTAGGATCTTTGTGTTTAGCGAGTAGATATTGGGTGCAATGTCATCAATGTTACATGATATCATTAATTAAATTATAAAACAACAAATAGGATTTGTGAATCTCGGTATTCTAACATGACAGTTATTAGATAAGGTGGTTATTGGTAATTATTAAAACAACAGAGTCCAGTAAGTCCATTTGGTATTCTATCACTAGTTAGTGACACCACATGACATTGATGATGTGGTGTCACCGCTACATTTAATATTTTCTTGTCTTAAGGATATGCTACACTCCATGTGAATGGCTAATAATGCCCAACTTTAATGGGTAAGGTTATGTTAATCTCAACTATTGATTTTGAATTAAATATTTTATAATATTTGATGGCGCAAGAAAACAGCGAGTGAAAGAGTTTTGTGTACTGGGTAATAATGTGTTAGTCGCTTGTGAAATCAATCACAAAGTAAAGAAAATGGACAAGAATATGAGTGGTTCACAAAGCTGAATAGCTAGGCTAGTCCATTGTTAATGGAGTATCTTGTTTCAGTATTCATTGTATAACTTGAGGGGGAAGACGAGGGTAATTACAGAGAGTTGTAATCGATTCCCATTCTGTAGGGCATGGTTTTTTATTTATACAAGGGTAGATTTTTGTCTTCTTCCTTGAGGGTGTGGTTCCCTCAATTCATTAGAATCATCGATAAATATTTGGTCGTTAAAGACAATCATAGCTACAAGACACGTAAGATTCTAGAAGCAGTGAAGTAGCATACTTGAGGCGGTAGCTTGCTATCCAAGACAAGGTTGCTTTATCGAGCTCTTCTTCTTCTCCTAGTAGTTAGATCCAATATAGCTTCATGGATACCGAGCTACTTTGGTATCCCTTGGTGATCTGAAATGGGTGAGTTGGCATTGGATGGGCCAACTTGGGTCCATGTGGTTGAGGCCCATACCAATGGGCTGTAGTGAGTTGGGCTCAAGCATAGTTTATGGTATCATCAATTACCCCTAGCCCTGAGTTTGGATAGCACAATGTTGGCCCTAGGTTGGGGTTGATCTGCATTGGAACTCGGGCTTTTACTATAGGAGTGTATCACATGCCAAGCTTTACATGTGATTTTATGTTACTATTAAGTTACGGATGTGCTATCGTGCAGGTGTGTAGTGTACTCAGTTCCTCGATTCCTTGGATGCCCTTCTCTCAAAGGTAGACGTGGCTATGATCCAAGGCACATTAATTGTGCGTAGAGCGCATTAAATGCGTGTAAGGAGATTGAACCGCCCAAACCAAAAGGTATTTGAACCCTCTCTATTTACTTTTGCAAGACACTTTTCTTTTTTTCTTCTTTCGATTAGAAATAGAGTGAGAGAAAGAAACCTCAAGGCTTCAGTGGTGCGTAATTCATTCCCTTGAAGTAAGCATTGTCGTTCTTGTACTCAGTTTGCCTTCTCCTTAGGTAAGTTCTCCTTGTCCTTCCATACCTTGGATCGAATCAACCCCTGGTGGTGGTCTATAAGGTTTCACTTTATAGTACTTAGGTTCTATTACCTTAGGAGCTGTCATTGGTCCCTAGAATTCCTTCCTTTTTTTGTTGATAGTTCTTTTGTTGCGAGGTTTATTCTGATTAGAAATTGGAGCTTGGATCCTATGGCGATTGAGGATTGTTGTTCAAACTTGCACAATTACTGAGGTCTTCGGTGCAGCATTCCCATGGTTAGGGTTGTGTTCTACTCTGAATCCTCTGCTACTCATTCTTTTGTCTCTCTAGGATCTAAAGATAGTGAGGAGGAAGAACAGGCAGGTTCCTCTCCTCGAGAGATAGACCATCCTATTATAGATGTTTTTGAAGAGGTACTTCCCCTAGTTATGGTTGTTGTGGGGGAAGACATCCTTAGGCCTTTTGAGGAGGTGCCCTTGGTGAGGTCCTCAAAAAATTTAGTGAAAATGAAACGCAGTCCCTTAGGGGGTGTCTCTACTTTGGCTATTCCAAAAAAGCCCAAAAGTTCTCGAGATTTGCCAAGTCTAACTTGTTGTTTGACCTCTATGCGCAATCATGTTGATGTCAATCGAGCTTAACCATTCAGGAGGAGTATGGTTTTTTTGATGATGTAGAAATTCATATTCTCAATACAGATGACCATTGTAACGTTCCTCGTCCGGGGATGGTTTACTTCTTCGAGGCGGCCTTTGAGTCAGGGTTAAGGTTTCCTATGCACCCATTTGTTCGAGAAACCTTGATTCACTTTAACCTTTGCCCCTGCTAGGATATGCCCAAATGATTGGGGTCTCCTAGTAGGTTTGCTTGTGCGTTGGCGAGAGAGCGACATTGAGTCCCCCCTTAACCATTATTGAACTCGCCCACCTCTTCCAACTGAAGTCTTCTCCAGCCCAGGGATTTATGTATTTTGTCAAGAGGGTTAAAACAAAAATCCTGGTGTTTGGCTTGCCTATTTCTCACAAACGGTGGAAGAAGACAATTGGGAGTTTGGGAGTGTGCCAACCTCCGACCTCCAAGTCCCTCGCCTCTCGCCTCTGGGACGTTCCTACCAATGGTAGTAAGTTTTGTCTTTGTCTTTAAACTCTTCTTTGGCAAGATCCTTCCTCTGACCTTTACTTGACTATTTATGTAGGGTACTAGTTAGATCTTTCCACTATCAAGGTAGCTCGAGTAACCCAGGCTATGGAGTACGACACGAGGTCCTTCGAGGAATGAGTGACATCTAAAAATTAGGCGAAGTATGGACTCAAACCTTATGTATAGGAAATCTCTGCTAGTAAACAACCTAAGCTCAATTTTCCTACTTGTTTCTTCTTTCTTACGTTTTTGTCCCTTATTTGGGTCTACAGACAGTGCTGACATGGTCCCTGACAAAGACTTGGTGTTAAAGACCCTGGCTAATAGGAAAAGAAAGAGTCCGTTGAAGACGCCCGACCTTCCTTCCTCCAAGAGGTCCCAAGCTACTGAGTCTTCTACTTTAGGGAAACTTCAATCACTACGCTGGCGGAGTTGCCCCTAACGACTGAACAAGATCCTATTGACGTGTCACATTCTGAGGGGCGCTTAGATCCCAGTGTAAGGTCTTCACCTGCCCTAGGTGGGACCTTTCTTTTTCCTGAGAAAGCTTCAGGTCCTACTATCCAGGTCTCAGTTTCCTCGAACCCTTTTGTGCTAGTGATTGTGGGTGACCAACAGACGACTGGGGATAACTCTCACCAACCAGCTCAGTTTGGTATTAGTCCTGCATTCTTGGTTTGCCTTGCCTTAGTTGTGCAAGCCCTTTTGTCCATAATTCCCAAGGAGTATCTCTACGGAATGGGGAAACATTTTTAGAAGATTGCCAACACCCTTCATTGCTTGGCTGCTGTAAGATCCATTCTATCTTCAAATTCCTCTTCATGATTTTCTTTGCATATAGGTTTTCCCTTGCTGATTAGTGCTTTTTCTTTATTCACAATTTGTCACCTATGTCAGGTCTATGCACCTATATGGCCATGACTTGATCGACATTGATAATACTCGGGAGCTCACCAATTGTAATCATAAGCTAGGAGCTGTCCATTAGGAGGTGGAGAGTCTCAAATCTTTTGGAGTTCCTTGAAGAAAGACCTAGCCTTTAGGGGGTTGGAGGTTTTACTCTGGTTATGGTGGTGGAAGTGGCCAAGTTTAAGAAGGCCAAGGTAGAGGAGGAAGTGGCAAGACTGAAAGCCGACCTCGACGATGCTTCTAAGGCGAGGTCTGAGTTGGGAGAGGCCTCGAAAGAGTTGCAGGCATCTCTAAGGGCCAAGGATAAAGAGATTAAGAAGCTTAAAGTAGAGACTTCCACCAGCGTTATTAAGGGCTTTGAGAACTTCTAGGAGTAGGCCCCAAAAAAGTTCTCAGAGCTCGAGTTTGACTCCATTGATCCGGTGTTCCATAAGGAGTGTCAGAGAGGAATGTCGAGGATGCTGTTGATCAATAGGAGAGTCGGTAGTAACTTAGGTGAGGAGCTTTCCTTTCTTTTGTTAAACATTTGTAACTTTTTCAAGAATTAAGTGTTCTTTTTTTGTAATGTGGACTGATTCCTAGTTGCTCTTTCTCAATGAAGAATTTCTCCTTTTTTATCTGTTGTGTGTTCTTTTGAAATGTGAAGTCGGGATGTCAAGGTCAGGTTGACCAGAATAAGTTGTTGATTGTTGATCCGATACCTTATGCTTTTAGGAAGTAGAGAAGATGTGGGACTATAGGTCATATGCCCCCGACACCTTTGGAATGAGAATTCCTTGTAGAGTTGTGTTCTGTTGTCTTGATGAATCTGAAGAGCTGAAAAACCCTAGTTCATCAAGCAAACTTGTGAGCTAGGCTGCTGGATGCCATTTTCTGCTGAGAAGCTTGTATGGCTGAGGAACCTTAGATGGCTAAGATGACCAAGGAGCTCAACACGATTGAACTGTTCCTTTGTGTGTACTGAAAGGACATTTTTGTGACAGTTATGCCTTGTTTGCGTGGTCGCATCGCCGTGGAGTATGGTGTGCGTCTAGATTTGTGGGTCATTTCAATCCCAAAATGCCATGTGTTCGTGGTTTCTGATGCGTTTAATGCATGTTCGTCACATTAAATATCCCCCAAAGAGGTGAACCGCCAAATGGAAAAAGCATTTAAATCCTCTATCTGGTGATTCTACGTACTTTTTTTGGTTCTGTCAATCAATTTCACTTGTGAGAAATCTGTGTTTTGAGTGTTCTTATAGGATACGAACCCTCTATAACCTTCATTTTCCTTCTTCAAGCTTCCTTAGGTATGTTCCTTTGTCACCCCCAACTCCTTTTTATTTTCCTACCTTTGTTCGCATCGGCTCAGGTGTACCATCACTTAAGACCTAACCCTTTAGAAGATGAGCTTTATGTGGTCTAGAGGACCCAAGTTAGGTTGCCTCAATGGAGCCAAGTGATGTTTTTGAGGGTCGACTGGCAGTCATCAGGGAACGCTATAGGTTTCATATTGGGGTATCTGTTCATGTCCATAACCAGGACATTCCCTATAACTTTTATCTATATCGGAGAGTTTATTTGTTCGAGTCTGCATTTGAAGTTGGTCTTAGGTTTCCTCTATCATCGTTCATCAGGACTATTCTTCCTTTTTTTAACTTGTGCCCTTCTAGAGTCTCAGTGGAGGGTTGGGGTCTTTTATGGGTCCCCTCGTCTTTTGGAGTCTAAATGACTTAGGACATTCCTCTACCATTCTTGAATTTCTTCATCTCTTTTTGTTTAGTCCCTGCCTTTTATCTTGGTTTCTATTAATTCGCTAGGAGAGTTGGGGTGCTAGACTTCTAACGGTTGGGAGTATGATTTCTTCTTCGTCTTAGGGGATGCTTGGGAGTTCAAGGGAGAGGTGGTTGAGGCTCTTCGAGTTCCTTGGTGTTGGGAAATTCTCATGAACATAAGTGAGTATGACTACTCTAGACTTCCCTGCCTAAAAAACACTTTTATCTATTGTTATTAAACTAACCTTCATTGTCTGGTGTCGTATAAGAGAGACCTAGATTTTTCCCAACTGAATTTACCAGGATTTCAGTGCTTTGGCTGGTGGTCCGAAGTCCTTTAGGAACCTGGTTGCTGCTAAGAACCTTGTTGTGTTCTGGCTAGGTCCTCTTCCCATCGTGAGGGAGCCCCTTCTGGTGAGTAGTTTTCTTCCTTGCAGTTTACTTGGTGTAAAATTTTTATACTAAATTGGCTTCCATTCTTCATGGTTGTAGGATCTTCAAGGATGGCCCTTGATAAGGAGATTGTGATGAAGTCCTTGTGATCATAAAAGGTCAGAGACGTGAGCACTTCTCCGCCCAAAGAGGCTTAGGGTGCTGGTAGCGACACTTGGACCATTTTTCATGGCAACTAACCCCCAAGGTCAAGGTAAGTTGCAACATCTGATGTTGCTTCCTACTCAGATGGGGCTTGAATAAGTTGCAACTACTAGTGCTCAAGGGGGTGCTAAAAGGAACCCCTCTGAAGAGGCTGGGGTTGCTCCCCAAATCGCACCTAGTTTTGAAATAGCAACTTTTACTCTGACTTTTGAGGTCGCGAGTCTCCTTCATAATCCACTTATGGCTTGCCGCTATCTATTAAACCTTATCCCCAAATTTGACTTTAAGCAATCTTTCAAGCTCCGCTATGGTGACAAGGCAACTTAGACATTTTACTCATTGATGTCGGTAAGATGTTCCTTTTATTTTTCTCGTTAGATTCTTCCTACTTTCTTGTTCTTGATGATTCTACTTGGCCTCATGGAGGCTGCCACCAACATTAGCGCTCTTGCAGAGGATATGCACCACACACAATAAGAGCTTGGTGTGAAGGAAAATGACCTCGTTAGTGAAGCAACAAAAAGGGAGATTTGGCTAACTAGTTGGTGGCTTCCATTTCTACTGAAATCTCTCTAAGGGATCAACTAGCTTTGAAAGAGGCAAAACTTGTTCAGGTTATTGAGTTAGTGGGTTGAGCCGACCTTGAGAGAAATAAATTAGGCAAGGAGAATGCGCTGCTAAAATCTATACTTTATGAGATGTTCAAGAAGTTCTTCGACTTAGAGATCGAGATGGATGCCAAGAAGGAGGTGGAGGTGCTAAAGATTGATGCCACCAACAGCTTTCTGGACAGGTTCGAGAACTTCTAGGAGTAGGCTCAGGCCAGGTTACTAGAGATGAATTTTGAACTATTCATGCCTATTTTTCCTGATGGTAGAGTTGTTGGACATATTGTTGCTAGGGGAGAAGATAAAGAGGTTGGGTAGAGTTAAGTTCCTCTCTCTCTCTCTCTCTTAAAAAAGATGGAACTTTTCTAGTCTTCTCCTTTACTTTTGAAATATAAATTCATTAACTTCTTTGCATCTTTTTCTTTGCATAATATAGTTGTTATGCTGAGGCTAAGTTTGATTCTTGCAATCCTCTTATAACATGTTTCCCCTTGATTTCTGGAAGGTGAATAGCCTTGTACAAGGAGTTAGGATTTGGATTTGTTGAGGTCGAGAAAATTTCGCTTGTTCAGTTAGAATCCAAGTTTTTGGCTTTCCCGGTCTACATTTTGGGTGGCCCCTTAGACTTGAATAGCCTAGCCCTATTGATGGCACACTTTTCTTTTTGCTAACTTTAAGCTGAGAAGCTCAAGTCTTTCTATAATTTTGTACGTTTTGTGAGCCTTTAGAGTTGAATAGCTTAGTACGACCGAAGCCTTTAGAGCTTAAAAGCTCATTATGGCCGAGAAGCCTTTAGAGCTGAAGAGCTCTTTCTGGCTGATAAGTCTTTAGAGCTGAAGAACTCATTATGGCTAAGAAGCCTTTACTTTTTCTTTGGATTGGAATGTTTATTGACTAAGTAGTCTTGAGATCGAACAAGCATGTAATTGTGAAGGATGAATGTATTTCCAAAAATATTTCCTTGAACAAGGATTTTCAAAAATTCCAAGGGTTAGATTCCTTTAGAACTTAAAAAGATTATAGTTAACAGACTGACTTGGCTATTGGTAAAACCACTTAAGGTGCTTAGCATTCTATGAATGCTCTAATAGACACCCTTTTTTAGTCTGAAACTCATAGTCGCCAGGATTGAAGACCTTTTTTTACCACGTAAGGGCCTTCCTAGTTTGGGCCGAGTCTCCCATGCCTTGGGTCTTTCCTTGCTAGTAGAAGTTTTCTATGGAGTAGGCCTCCCACCTTGAAACTCCACTTCTTAACCCTTTGATTATAATATTGAGATGTCATGCGTTGATAAGTTGTGATCCTTTGCAATGCCTCATTCCTTTTTTCATCCAGAAGGTCTAGACTGAGGATTAGAGATTGGTCGTTCTGCTCTGGGTTTGATATCTCTGTCCTTGGTGATGGGAGGCCAACCTCTATTGGTGCCACTGCCTCCATTCTAAAGGTCAAGCAGAAAGGAGTCTCATTTGTGGTTGTTCGAGCTGTCGTTCTATACACCCATAGCACAATTGCGAGATGATTCACCCATTGATTCTTCGAAGCTTCCAACCTGGTCTTGAAATCCTTTCCTATGGTCCTTATTGTGACCTCTGCCTGCCCATTCGCCTGAGAATGTGTAGGAGAAAAATAATAATTTTTTTTTTACCTAGTTCAACACAAATTCTAGAACCAATCGCAATCGAACTCCTTTCCGTTGTTTTGACATTATCGCTCTTGAAATTCCAAAATGACATACAATCGAATTCTAGACGAAGCTTTTCATTTTTTGCTCGTAATCGTTGCAAGATGCTCGACCTCAACCTATTTGGTGAAATAATCAATAGCTAAAATTGCAAACTTGCATTGTCCTATGCTGATTGGAAAAGGTTTGACGATATCTATCCCCCATTGCTGAAAAGGCCAGGGGCTTAGAACTAGGGTGAGCTCCTTTGGTGGGCACCTAGGGATGTTCGAATATAGCTGACACGTCTTGCATTTTTTAAGCAGGTTAGCAACATTTTTCATCATAGTGGGCTAGTAGTACCCATGCCTCTGAGCCTTGTACACCAATGTTCGAGCTCCTATGTAGTTGGCACAGATTTCTTCATGAACTTTTATGAGCACATAGTTAGCCTCATCCAAGATGACGTACTTGAGAAAAGGTCGAGATAATCCTCTTTTGTAAAGCTTTCCTTGAAAAATGAGGAATCCTATACCCCTAAGCAGCGACTTCCTTTAGAGAACTTGTAAATAAGGTGAAATGCCATAACATCATCATTCTTATAGTGAAAAATGCTCAGCTTGGCCAGGCACTCCATGGGGAACTTGCCGCTTAGGCCATCCTGAGGAGCCGTGGCCAATTTAGCCAGCAAATTCACTCTGACATTCTTGACTCTAGCGATTTGCTTGATTTTTGTATGAAGAAACTTACTCAACAACTCATTCACTACTTTTAGGTACGTTGCCATTCTCTCTGCTTTGGTGTTGTATTCGGATCTGACTTACTTGACCAGTAGCTGAGAGTCATTATAGATAATGATTTGCTGAGCTTCCATGGATAAGGCTAGTCCAAGTCCAACCACCAGTGCTTCGTATTCTACTTCATTGTTCAAAGTTAAAAATTCAAACCTCATCGTGTGATGTGGGAGAAAATTAATTATTGTGATGGTATTACCATTAGCAAGATAGTAGAGCTCTAGCGTCACTAAGAAAACTTGGAGCAAGCCTAATCCTAATAATCAATTTTCCCCTACATAGAAAGCACATGAAATAGATCTTATGGATCACGTTATGTACAATTCAAAAATCAAAAGGCCCCCAAGATGATGTCAACAACATGCCTGTAGGGGATAAATAGTTAAAAGGCGGCTATACCTCATTTCAAAGGGGTCCCTGCCTTTATCAAGCCTATTTGG